CCAAAAAAATGGAAAATAAGATCCGCCCCCAGTCAGAGGGTGCGTTGTACTCGGGGTAGGGCGGCAGTAGGGGCAGCAGCACTTAGTCTGACGTCTAACATCTAACAAAAGAGAGGTAACGCTACTTCTATTTACCGTCTTCCCCCGAATTCAGCGCACCCTGATCATGAATGTATATTAGCTATCTTTTCGGTCTCATGCAGTCAGAATAATGAGGGTGCGTTGTGTTCCCGCGAGGAAGGGGGAGGGGGTGAATTAATCACTGATGCCCGGTTCCTTTCCACACTGTAAATTCAATCTACTAATGGTTTTCCGCTCCGAGTACAATGCACCCTGATCATGAATGTATAGTAGCGATCTTTCCAGTTTCATTCACTCTCATCTGAGGGTGCGTTGTGTTCGGTCGGGAGGGGAGGAAGGGGGGGAGGGAGGGGGGAGGGAAACCGCTGATGACACGCTCGTTTCCTCACCGACTTCACACAACCTATTTATCTGACCGTATTCCCGCAAATACAGCATAAATGTATGTATGAGCGGTCAGATACTTCTTAATATTGCCCGGCTACACGGCTTCTTCCCCCCGAGCGCAACGCACCTTCATCATCCATGTATACAAGCGACCATTCCGGTCCGATTATGCATATGTATACAAACGAACTTTCCGGTCGTATTCAGTCACATGGTGAAGGTCCTTTCTGTTCCGCGGAAAAAGACGATGATAAAAGAAACAAAGAAACAAAGAAAGATAGAAGCCTTTCTCGGCCTTTTCGCTAAGATCACGTGTAGTATCCGTTCTGATCAGTTAAAAAGAAACAAAGAAAGATAGATGCCAAGCAATGGCCACTTGCTCTTTACACGCAAACTGTTGGTATTGCAAAGAAATAAACAAGCGTGTATACATGCTCGGAAAGCGCACACATTCATTCCTTCACGTTTGGACCGGGTGCGCTTCCGTCTCATCAGGAGGCATGCCACAAACCCAGCGTCTTACGGCCCCCCCTGCCTACACGTACCACCCACGAACGAATGAGGGGCCGTGTTGTGTTGCCTTGCCCTCATTTAATTCTTCGGCTTTCCCTTGCACACACCCTGCCCTACTATTTTGGTAGCTTCCTTTTTTTTTTCTTTTTTTTCACCCTGCCCTACTTCCCTCTTCCCCCAACATAACGCATATGCGTTGTATTCCAGTTTTCAAATTAAAATAAAGAAAAGTGGAATAGAATTTTGGGCTATTCGCATAAAACGCATATGCGTTGTATTCGAATAGAACGTACCCTATGTGTTGCATTCGTTTACAGCACGTATGCGTTATGTTCGGGGGAAGAAGGCTAGCTACTAAACTCTGATTGGCTAAACAATCCTGTGTCGGATCCGCATGTGGCTCTCTGCAGCCGCTCAATCCCTCCCTCGTACCCGGGCACTGCACGTGGTCTAGCCTGCCGTCCAGATTCCCAGTCCCAGGTAGTTCAGGCATCCGCCCTGGTCCYAAGGCACYTGGYAAACCAAATTYGGTAGTCTACCCTTCCTATTCCCGCCCGAAATCCGTTATTCCAGCTACCTCTACCCAGCGGGCAATTCAAAATTGTAGTCTGCCCTTCCTATTTGGTAGTCTACCCTTCCTATTCCCGC